AAAAAAAAATTAGCTGGGCATGGTGGTAGCGTACACCTGTAGTCCCAGCTACTCGGCAGGCTGAGGCAGGAGGATCACTGGAGCCCAGGGGTTGGAGGCTACAATGAACTGTGATGGCGCCACTGCACTCCAGCCTGGATGACAGAGTGAGATTCTGTCTCAAAACATAAACAAAAACAAAAGCCACGCCCCACGTGGACCCCTGCCGCCAACTCTGCCAGCCTGCTGGGCTGGTGCCCCAAGCCCTCCTCACGCATGGCCAGAGCTGCAGCCTCCCAGCCCACCCCAGCTCTCCCGGCCCCCTGCTCAGGGCCACAGCGGGACGCTGGACCCCAGGAGGCCTCCTGTGCACGTCTACCCTGACGCCTGGATTCCACCCTGCCCTCCTCCAGTCCCTGCCAGCCATGCAGGCCCTGTTGCAGGGCCTTCGCACTCCCCGTTCCTTCTTCTGGAACATTCCCCCCAACTGTCTTCACGGCCCCCATGTGGGTCTTGGCACAAAGGCTCCAGGATGCAAGGCTTCCCTGGGTGCCTCGTTTAGCAACCACAGCTTCTCCCTCCCGTCTGACCTCTCCCCAAAACCGTCACCTCCTGAGAACCCACTCGGTTTCCTGTCTTTTTCTCTGGGCCACTAAGGCGTAAGCTGCACCAAGGCGGACCGTTCTGTGTGCCGCAGCCCGGCGTACGGGGCACCCACGGGCCTTCTGGATCGAGGCGCGGACGTGGCAGGAACCAGAAGCACCTGCCATCTCGCACGGCTTCTACGAGGCCAGGTGACATTGTGGCGGAGCGGGGCAGGCTCTGGGAGGAGGTGCTCCGCCAGGCTGGGGAGGACCCAGGCCGAGGCCCTCCCGCCCCCCAGGGAGGAGGGCAGGGCAGCTGGGCGGCACGATCCCGGGCCCGGCACGCACCCCCAGCCCGGGCTGCCAGCAGCCTCACAAGACGCTGCCGACGATGAATATTTAATGCCACGAGCAGATGCTCACAGTGTATCGGGGGGAGGTTACAAAATGCCGTCAGGACGCAGCCACATGTTCGTACAGTCGCACAAAGGAAGAGGCAGCGGGAACGAGCCCAAACGGCCGAGGGCCGCTCCGAGCCGTGGAGTCACAGCCGCTTTCTCTGCGGCTCACTTGGGTCTTCTATGACAAACGCGTCATTTTACGAAAGTTTAAATGAAAGGAAACGGAGATTTTAGAAAGCTGATGGGATGGGACCCCCTTCTCCCGCCCACTGGCAGACACTGTCTGCTGGCAGCTTCCTGCCCCTTGGCGGACCCTGGCCCAGGACAGATGGACGGACGCCTGCTCCCCGACACACTCGGGCTCTGCCTGCTGCCCACCCAGCGAGAGCCACCAGCACCAACCCCCACTGGGGCCTCCAGGACGTGGGCAGGTCCTCGCTGGCTGCCTGGACCGAGTCAGCACAGCACGGAGTCAAGGTCTGAGGGATGTGGGGGGCGCCGTCCCGGAGGCGGCGGCACAGGTGCTGGCTGTGTGAAGGGGCCACTGGCGGCCACACCTGGACAGAGCCACGCCTGGCTCGGGGGCTCCGGGCTCAAACCCCAGCTCCTCCACCCACAGGGCGAGGAACCCGCCAGTCCGCTCCCAGGGACAGGCTGACCCCTCCTGTGGGTGGGGCTACAGGACAGACCAGTGTCACCACAGAAAGAGGAGCCTGCGGTGTCAGCTCCCTGCTGCTTTCCCAGTGGCCTCCCGGCGGCCTCTCAGCACATCGCACCCCGAATCCCACCCCACCCGGCCACGGTAAACAAACCAGTCCTAGGGACGTAAATAACACACAGAAATTAACAAAATGTCAAAAAATAAAGACATAAAAAACAAAGTCAGTGCTGGGAGAAAGCTCTGGTGGACAATAGGAGGGCAGTGAGGGTAGACAGAGGCCTCTGGGAAGCTGAGCCCTGGAGGAGCCATGTGGGCACCCAGGAACGAGCACACCAGAGGCACAGCTTGTGCAAAGGCCCTGGGGCAGGACCGCGCCTGGTGTGTGGGAGGCACAGCGAGGAGGCCCATGTGGCTGGAGCAGAGTGAGGAGGGGAGGGTAAGGGAGGGGACAGAGCAGGAGTCAGCACAGCCCAGGTCAGGGAGAAACCTGAACAGCAGGGACATGGCTGGCCTTCTGTCTGGAAAGCTTCTGGCTACTGAGGGGCTAGGGGACCTCCAGGTGGGGAACAGATGGGGAAGACGGGGCAGGTGGGTGGTGAGAAACAGCAGCCCTGGGGGAGGGTCACAGGAGACAGGTGGGCAACAGGACTTGGGCTGGAGGTGGGAACCCTCAGCAGGTCCTGGGAGGCCTGTCCCTCCTCCTCAAGCAGGTGGGTGCTCCCAGAGGCCAGGGTCTGCGGCAGAGCCCATAAGTCCCCTGACCCCAGCCAACCTCAGGCACGGGAGGTCCCAGCCGAGTGGGCCAGATCACCCCCCACAGGGGACAGTGGCACAGGACCCCACGTGACTGCCCAGGCCCCCAGGGCATAGGACAGACCCAAAGATGCCATGGAGGGACACTGGCCTTGGATCTGTGCCAGGCCTGGCTGTGAGTGGCAGGTGGGACTCGGCCCCTCTGACCTCAGAGAGATCCCCGAAAGTAGGAGCAGGAAAAGCTCACTGGGACCTCAGGGTACCCAGTCCCCGTTCTCGGGTTTTCTAGCCTCTGCCACCCGAGGCCAGGCTGCTCTGTCCCTCCTCTCAGGGCACAGCACGCCTGGGTCACAATGGCCTCCATTCAGTCCCGTGAATGAGCCCTCTCTCACGGCCAGGCTCTGCCCTCGCTGGTCCCTCTGCCTGGAACACACTCCCCTGCCCCTCCTCTCTGCCCGGCCTCCTGGAACTGACCCTCCGCGTCTGCAATGGAGTGCCGCCGCCTCCAGGAAGCCATCCTGCCGGCTACTTCCTCACAGACATGCAATAAACGGCTTCCGCTGCTGCCAGCCTGCCCTGGGCGTCCTGTACCTGTCAGAGCGTGTGCCACCTGGCACTGGCTAAGCACTACCTGTGCAGCGCTGGGCAGGGCCCACCACCACTACCTTGTTGCTTGGGAAATGCTGGCTGAAGGGCCTAAGTCCGGGCAAGGGGCACGCGTGTGCGTACGTACAGCCAGACCAGGGGTTCTCAGCCAGCATCAGAGCCACCCACCTCTGGGGGGCACCTGGGGTCACTGCAACAGAGGCCACGCATCCTGCATGGCAGTGGGGCAGGCTGACACCCCCAGGTGCCGGTGGCAGGATGTTGGGGGGCCTTGAGGAGCGGCTCTGCCAGCCAGTGTGTTTCCTCCTTCTGCCCTAAGTCTCACGACAGCCTCTCTTCTTCCCCATGGGCCCCAGAAGGAGGACCTGGCCCCAGGCCCCCAGGTCCTGCTGGGGTCAGCAAGGGCCTGCCGCCCCGGGCCGACCGGGCTGAAGGCTGGGAAGGGGAGGAGAGGTGGCTCCCCTTGGTGGGACGGGGTCCCCAACCTTCATGAGGTCAGGGCTGCCGGACTCAGTGCTCAGAAAGGGGGTCAGAGGCGGGAGGATGAAGTCAGGTTGCTGTGTGACCTTGGGTAAGTCTCCGGACATTCCTGGGCGCCAGCCTCCCCCATCCCAGGGGACCCAGCCCTCCACGGGCTGCGGCTCTGGCACCCTCCCCTCCCCAAGCCCTGATCTGTGTGATTTATGGCTCCTGTCGCCCAGCGCGGTCTCCATCCCAGGGAAGCAGGCCGGACGGGGGGCCTCATTCTGGCTGGCAGGTCACGGCCAGGGGCGAGGGGAAGGGGAGGCTGGTGGCCTGGGTCCTCTTGAAGTGGCCCTTGGGCAACGCCAGCGCCACAGAGTTCACCCTGGGGGCCGGGGGGACAGAATCTCAGCCCTGCAACAACAGGCCCACTGACTGCTTCAGGACCCGGCTCTGTGCAGGCAAACCTCGGAGGCTCTGGCCCCCGGGGACCCTCCGAGAGCACAGGGTCCAGGCAAGGAGGTGCGCCCTGGTGGGAGTGCCCCTCCCAGGCCCTCAGATGGGGGCGGAGAGCCGTGGGGAGGAAAGGCAGGGCGGGGTCAGCCTCTTTGTTCTGAGCCGCCAGCAGAGTCATTCCGGGTGTAGACAGGGGAGCCAGCTCTCCCGGAGATCAGGTGACTGGGGTCCCTGGGGGCTCAGGGCACAGTGATGCATGGTGGGGCGGAGCAACTGCTCACCCTGCAGGAAGGAAGCCTGAGATCCGATCCGGCGGGAGGGGGGCCAGGCCAGCCAGCTCCGGGCCCGCGCCCAGCACCGAGCCTGCCCTGTAGCTTCCCGGGTGGTGCTCAAGGCCTGAGGAGTCTGAACCGGGGCTGAACCAACGCCAGAGCCAGCCAGCCCTGCCGGAGAAGCCTGCAGGGAGAAAGAAGGCTTCCCTCTCTTCTACCTGGACAGGGCACAAGGGGACAAAGGCAGGAAGCCAGCCTGGAGGAACCCAAGATGAGGCTCCTGGGTCCCCAGCGTCACCATTTCAACTCTAGACAGGTGCAGCTGGGCCAACCTATGAAACGCCTCCTCTGGGGGGAGGAGCCTCGGCCTAGAGGGCGGAGCCTAAGGCCAGAGGGCGGACACTAAGGATGGAGGGCGGAGCCTCAGGCTGCTGCAGGAAAACACAGGCAAGGGCCTTCTCCCTCCTCCACCTCCTCCAGCCCCACCTGCAACCACAGCCCCTCCAGCCTACCCTCACAAATTCTGGGGGCTGCAGGTGGGAGGGGAGAGGCAGTCTGTACCCCTCCCCACTCCCCCCATCAGCCGGCTGGGCTGGCGCTGAGGCGTGCATGCCAGAGAGGGGGCCCCAGCGCAGCAGGGGCCAGCCAGGCGCTGGGTCAGCAGGTGGGAGGGGGCCTGCACCGCAGTTCTGAACTGCCAGGCCAGGGACGTGGGGGCGGGGCGCATAGGGACTGCAACCTCTGCCAGGCCACACTCTGCCACAGCACACGGTGCCAACTCAGTAAAGACAGGAGGAGCTGAGTGGGACACGCGGACGGTGGGCTGTGGTGGGGGGTGGCAGGCCCCATGGAGTGGGCCATAGCCTGGGGGCCCCTGTGCCACCAGTGGGGTGCTCGAAGGGAAGTTCCGCAAGGGCAGGGGCTCTGTCACGTGCCCTGCTCCGTGTCCCGCTCCGTGCCCCGTGCGTGAGTGAAGGACTGCGGAGAGGGAGGTGGGGCAGGAGGAAGAGACTGTGGCTGGGGCCTCCAGGGGCACCCAAGACCCTGATAGAACCTGCCAGCCTGGACATGGCCCGCAAAAGGCCCGGTCCCTCCTGCTTGCATTCTGGAGCCCAGCAGGCTGAGGCTGGGCAGGCCTTCCCGGCCCCGGCTCAGGGCAGCTTCTCAGGCGGGGACCAGGCTGCAGCCTGAGTCCTCATGGCCCCCCACACTGCTGTGCATCGTGAGGTCCTGCCACACAGCAGGTGTTCAGTCAACACTTGGCACAAGAAAATGAGTAAAGAAGGGATCGTGGAGCCCCGGCACATTCCCTCCACCCCCGATCACCCAGCCCCTTGGGAACACACGCAGGAGCAGCCCAGCGGTACCCGGAGCCCGAGGTCAGAGGCTGCTCCTGCAGGACGCCACCAGGAGCAAGGGCGTGTGGGGAAGGAGGAAGGAAGGTCTGATACGATTTTCCAGCCCTCTTCCCGCAGGGAGAGAGAGCACAGAAGCCAGCCTCCAACACAGCCCCCCATGACCCCGCACCGCAGCAGAGCTGTCTGAGCACCAGAATGTGGCAGAAGCCAAGGCAGACACGCTGCGAGGCTGGGTTATAAAAAGGACTGGGGCTGGGACCTGGGACTCACTCCCGGGTCACCGGCTCTGGGGCGTGCAAGCCGTGCGGCTCTCCGCACGCAGAAGGCCATGTGTCTTTAGCCAAAGCCAGCAAGGCACTGAGGCCCGCCCACCACCACGTGAAGTGGAGGCACCTCCGGCCCCAGTTGAGCCTCCGGATGAGGCAGCTGCAGGAGCCACCCAGCCACGCCCACAGGAACCAACAGTTGTCTGCCGTGTTAAGCTGCTCGGTTTGGGAGTAACCGGTGACATGGCCATAGGTAACCGACATCTAAGATGGTCCCTCTGCTTCCCGGGAAGGACGATCTCCCTGTGGCACCCCCGCCCTTGCTGCTGCACCACAGAGAACATCCCTGGAGTCTGACCGTGTGGTTGGGCGGCGGGCGCCAGGCACGAACTCAGAGCATGGGCCCCCGCGGGGCGGCGACTCACCTAGCTCGGTGGGTTTCAGCAGTTCATCCAGCATGTTGAAGAAGGGCAGCTTCACCAGGCGGACTTCTGGCTTGAGGGTCTTGGTGGGCAACCGTCCCAGTCCGTTTAAGTACTTCCCGTAGAGCACGGGGTAGTCAATATTGGGGCCCGAGAGCGGAGTCCTGGGCACAGCGCCGGCCCGGTCATAGGTGGAGTGCATGGTCAGGGGGTCCAGGGGCCGGTGGGGCTGAGGGACGGGCTCCGAGTTCTTCTTGGCGTAGCGGGTCTCGTACAGCTCCTTGATCTTCTTGAACAGCTCAGGGCTACAGTCAAACTGGACGAGCTGCAGGGCCCTGGTGACCAGCTCGTGCTTCAGTCCGCTCTTACTCCGGCCCACGAAACCCAGGAGCATCTGAAGGTCGGAGACTCGAAAGCTCATCACCATGTTCTGGGGAAGAGTAACCACACACGAGCTCAGAGGCCAGCGTCGCCACAACCAGGCCACTGGGGGGCAGGGCGCCTCACTGGTGAGGCCGAAGGCTCTCATCCTGCCCCACGGTGCCCCTCTGAACCAAGCCCTGCCGCCCCCAACTCCCCCAGCGTCTCCAAGGCAGCAAAGCTACTCTGACAGCCCCTACCTTCTGTTTTGGGTTCCCTTTCCCCATCTTCCAGCCTGAAAGCATCCCCAGGGCAGGAACCAGGAATCTGGCTTTGCCCACAAATAGTCCCTGCCAGTGCCTAGTTGGCAAACACTGACAGCCTCTCTGACCCTCGGTCTCTTCGTCGGAGAAGAAAACAACATCCACCTTGTCAGAATGTTGGGGGACCAGACAAGGTGACTCATATAGAGCACCTGGCAGAGCCAGTGCTCAACCAGCTGAGCCACAAACACCTTTCCCTTAGTCACAATGATGGTCGTAGGTTTGCTTAATACTAATCACCTGCCAGGAACTGAGCGGGACGTGTGATTATCTATCTAACTCTGATCCCTGAAATGCCCCCGCGGGGTCAGTGTGGGCACCACTACAGATGAGGGAGCAGCGGCTCGGGGAAGACAGCACCAGGATTCAAACCCAGGCCCCACACCAAACCTGGGTGGTCCTTCTACACTGCTGCCCGGGGGACTGGCACAGAGCTGGGCGCTTCAGAGGTCCCCTAAATGCCTGCTGGCCATCCCCAGCAGGCTCTCTCCCTCTCAGCACTGTCAACACTGGGGCCGGAGCGTTCTCTGGGGTGGGGTCGTCCTGGGCACTGCAGGGCACTGAGCAGCATTCCTGCCTCCACCCACCCCTGCAGGGAGCACCCCCCCAATCCCAGTCGTGGCAACTAAAAACCATCTCCAGACATCGCCCAGCGTCCCGGGAGCGGGGCAGCAGCTCAGCCTGGTTGAGACCCACTGGTCCAAGGGGGAGGCCTCAGGGCTCCTGCTGCCGTAGAGGCTGTTAACAGAGCTGCAGCGAAGTGACGAATGCGGTTTGGCAGCACCCGGCCCCCGTTACCTGGCAGGGCCTGTCCCGCTAAATCGAACCAACAGAAGAGCCCGGCTGACTCCGGTGTCTGAGCAGGGGCCGCCTGGTGGTGGCCCACCTCCCATGAAAGCTCCCGTCCAGCTACAAAAGCAAAGTGTCCTCCAGAGATGGGCTGGCAGGGTTTTGGGGGCCACCCGCAGAGCCCCGGAGCTGGCCAGGGATGAATGAAACATGGTGGGAAAAAGAGACGCCCGGGGGGACGGAAAAACCAAGTGCGAGCGACAAGAGTGGCCACAGAGAGCTGGCGCCCGGGGCAGGAGTGCACCCAAAGAAACCAAGAAGTCGCTGAGACTCGACTTGGAAGAGTCTGAGGGCTGGAGCTGGGGCAGCCCCGCCGGGGCGCGTATGCAGTGGCCCCCGTGCCAGAAGGCTCGAGGGTCTCCAGCTCCTGGCTAAGGGTGAGGGCAGGGGCGCGCAAGGTCCCGCAGAAGCAGAGAGGCCATGCAGGTTTGAAGGACAGACACCTGCCTGCAGAGACCTGTCCCGCTGCAGAGACCTCCTCCTGCGCTTGCGGCCCGTGGCTCTGTAAAGCACATGGGGGCCAAGCGTCTACCTCGTGCCAGGTGCCAGAAGGGTCTTTCCACCTCACTAACCTCACAGTGGCCACGTCCATCATGTAGGTGAGGAAACTGAGGCTCAGAGGGTCGCGGCTGGCCCACAGCCCACCGAGTCTAAGTGCAGTACTGGCAGTTAGACCTCTGTTCCCCAGGTTCCTGAAGGCGTCCCTTCCACTCACACCCAGCCGCCTAGGGGACCCTCACTCACCAGCACACCAGCTATCTGGGGACCTGCGTGGGCTGCTGGCCCTCAGAGAGTCTGAGATGCTCTGAGAACAAAAACGCCTCATCTCCCTTGGCCTGACTTCCTACCTTGTTCGGAAAACAAAAAGGCTTGCGGACAAGATGTTTCTTCTGGAAGAGGCCCAAGCCCTTAGGAGAGGCAGTGTCACGGGGACGCTTACTGCTGGCACCTGGGCCAAAGGCAGGTGGGCTCGGCGAACCTGCTGACGTCAACCCGCCCCGGGAGCCCCGGCCCCGCCGAGGACGAGCCCCTCCGTCCGGGCTGCACCTCCGGAGCTCCTGCATCCCAGAGCACACCCCTCGGGCTGCCATATGTTCCCGACTCAGATTTCTCCGCAGCTGCCACCACCGAGGAGCCTGCCCTTGACACTTGGGGGGGATGAAGCGGGGACATACATTCAGGAAGAAGCCCCAAACGCTCTGAAGATCACTTCCTGCCCTGGCTTCATCCTGACCCGCCTGCCATCGTACCCGTGTTTATAAACAGCACCAGGCCCCGACGGCTTCCAGAGCCGCGTTTCGACTCCAGGCGTGTTGGGAAGCCGCGTGGGGAAACATCAGCCGAGAGGAGGCAGCTGACTTGCGGCACAGGCTCCTCGGCGCACAGGAGGAGCTCAGTAAGCCGCCTCTCCAGGAAAATGGGGGGGAGGGTTTGACGGACACCCCTGGCCCCAAAACCCGACTCCAGATCCTCAGGAATCTCAGATTTCAAAGTTTATTAGCAAGCGCCTGCAACGGTCTCCCCTCCGACCAGCCCGCTGTGCACCCCAAAGACAGAATCTACGGCCGTCAGTAAGACAGCTTGGGGAAAGCTGCTATAAAAAGGGGGACATTCCAATGACATTTAGGGTGCTCTGAGGTGGCAGCAAGATGCTCAAGGAGACAGAGGGCTCCCTAGGGTCGGGTAGGTTGTGCTGCAGCCCCAAGCCCCGCCTGAATGCAGGCTCACAGTTTAGAGAACTTGAAAGAAGAGTCAACTTGCTATAACTGGGCTGGGGGGGCCCAGCTACGAGAGGGTCAAGGAGAGTTCATCAGATCATATTTCAAGGCCCTGGACAGTATAAAAAAAGAGTGCAGACCCGACCCGAGGCCGGGATGGGAGGAGTGGGGTCCACAGCCCTGAGAGGAAGTTACATTTCAGGGCTCCAGGGAACTTCAAGCCTGGAGACTGCCACCTTGGGTTTGCAGAGTTCAGACCTACACGTCTATGAGGCAAGTCTCCGTTTTTCAAAAGCCTAGAGAGGAGCAGACGTGTGTGTGGGGTAGAGTTGGGGGCTGGCGGACAGGGTATATCCTCTCATCACAGAACCCTGGGACTGCATCTCAGATCCCAGCGGGAAGAGAAGAGGCGGGAGCGAGGAAAAAAAAAAACACAGGTAGGTCAGGACCCTGGGGAGGGAAAACCAGAAGGGGGCTGGGGGTCCCCTATCTCCCTGGTAGGAGTGGTCTTGAGTGCACTTCTAAGGGTCCTGGACCCACATCTCCGGGGAGGCACTTGGAGAAGGTACATTCCTGGGACAGGGTCACTCTGAGCTCAGTCCCAAGTCGGTTAAAAGGGGCCCCAGGTTAGGACAGAGGACGGTGTCTACAGGACATGGAACCTGGACCAGGACCCAGAGCACTCAGAAGCAGCAGCAGAAGTTATCCTAAAGAAAAAGGCCTACCCTGACCCAGCGGGACCCTCCAAGGATCAGTGTAACAGGCAGAAAAGGAGGGGGTTACGAAGCCAGGGCTGGGGTGCAGAAACGTTCTGGGGGGTGTGTAGGCAGAAGGGAGTCTGACCTACCAGAATCGCTAGGGAGTATAAGGGAAGCCAAGGCTTGGAGATAGGATGGGATCCTGCACGTGTGGGGCTTCTGAGCCCCAGAGGCAGAGCCAATAGGTTCACAGATTCTGTCTTTTGGGAAACCGAGGAGGAGGAAAGCAGAGCCAAGAACTCGGGACTGAAAATGGGGAGTAAGGAAGGTCTCTGAGCAAGAACAGGGGTCAGGGCTTCAGCCCCTGGGGACGGCAAAGGGTGGGACCCCTGTTAACCCAGAGCCCACCCCGGGGTGTGGACAGTGTCAGAAGGGGGGCGGGGCTCCGGGACCAACGCGGGAGCGGAACAGGGGCTCCCAGCCTCTGTCTGGCGTGCAGACCCCAAGAGGACAGACTACGGTTTGGTGGCAGAACACTACTCGGGAGTCAGGGGACCCTTCCGAGCAGGGAGGGAGTCGCAACCCCCAGGCTGGCTTGCTGGGCGGGGAAGATAAGACCCAGCTACCAGCCCCCAGTGCCATGGGGGCGGGGAGGCGCGGACACTCCCCCCGACCCGAGCACGGACGCCGGCTCGGAACGAGGAGGGCAGGAGCAGCCCGTCCCGTCCCGCCGTCCAGGGAGACTGTGCCCCAAGCCGGGAGGCGCGGCCCTGTTCCCGCGCTGGGGACCTGGACCCTCACGGCTCTGGCTGGGTCGGGGGCACCGACCCCCGGCGCCAAGACCCGGGTGAGGTTTGGGGGCCCCGCCCCCGGCTTCCCCGCCCTCCGCCCGCACCCTGAGCCCCGGGGGCGGGGGCCAGGGGCCCGGGCGGCGAGCCGCGGGTGGGCCGCGCCGTGGGGCCCAAGGCGGAAGGCGCAGACCTCGGCCTGCGGCCCGGCCCCCAACCCCTCGCCCGCCCGCCCGCCCCGGCCGGCGTTGCCGCCGCTCACTCACTTTGGCCTCCACAAGCTCCGCCGCCATCTTGGCCACCAGCGTCCCCCGCGCCGGGAGCCCCCAGCCGTCGCGTCACGTGACCGCCCGCCACTCGCGGGCGGGGCCGCCGCTCCGGCCAATTAGCACCCGCGCACGCTCCTCCCCCCAACGGCGCGCGCTGCTGTGCACTGCGCAGGCGCACGCGGCCATCGCCCGAACCCCGGGCCAATCACAGACGCCGAACTCCCGCTCCCCCTTCGTCTTTCCCTCGCGGCGGTCACGCCCACCCCTGGCGGCGTCTGCCTTCTTAAAGGGACAGGCGCGCCGCACAGGTCGGGGAGGGTGCTGGGTAGCGTCTGGGGACAGCACGCGGGAGGGGGCGGCGGCAACAACAATGCGGCCAGGTGCGGCGGCCCCGTTAGGGCGGCGGCCGCCAGGTGCGTCCCCAGACTCCCAGCGGCGCCGGGGGAGGGGACGGTTGCTCAACCGCAGGGGCCGCCAGTGCGTGCAGCTCGGCGCCTGGTTGCGCCCTTGGCGGGCCCGACCCCCGCGGCTGCACATCCGGGGCCTGGCGGGCCCCGCTCCCTGCCGGCGGGACGGAAGCCTGGGAGCGCGGGACTCTGCTCCCCAGTTTCCCGGAGCCCGTGCAACTCGCGTCTCTCTGCGGGCGGCTCTCCACCCACGGTAAACCCTGGGAATCTGCACCGACCGGGACCTTTCCCGCTCAAACGTTCTCCTTGGCTCCCCAGTGCCGTCAAGAAGCAGAGCTCAAACTTTCTGGCGTCCAAAGCAGGAGATGTAAGGACAAAAATGTACCTTCCAAAGCCTACCCCATGGGATGATAATTCTCAAGGCAGGAATTAGACAAAAATTTAATGGGATGCCAAAAGCAAAAGGAAATTCAGTAATTCTGTAAATTTTTTTTCTTTTCTTTTTTTTTTTTTTTTTTTTTGGAAACGGGGTCTCGCTATGTTGTCCAGGTGTCATCATAGCTTATTGCAACCTCAAACTCCTGGGCTCAAGTTATCCTCCTACCTCGGCCTCCCAGAGTGCTAGGATTACAGGTGTGAGTCACTGCGCCTGGCCTTTTTATTTTTTTAAGAGATGGATCTCCCTTTGTCACCCAGGCTGGAGTGCAAGGGTGTCATCATAGCTCATTGCAGCCTCAAACTCCTGTGCTCAAGCAATTCTTTTGCCTCAGCCTCCCAAGTAGCTGGGACTACAGGCTTGCGCCATTACAGGCAGCTGATTTTTCGTTCTTCCTTTTTTTTGTTTTGGTAAAGACGAGGTCTCGCTATGTGCCCAGGCTGGACTCAAGCCATCCTCCTGCCTCGGCCTCCCAAAGTGCTGGGATTACAGGCGTGGGCCACCGAGCCGTGCCCAGTCAAATATTTCAGTGCAATATTTCAAATGTAAAAATTAATGCAAATTTCATCCATGATGGATGAAATAACCAAAATTTTAAGGAAAGGCAGTGTTAAGAAAAACCAGAAGAGGCCGGGCGCGGTGGCTCACGCCTGTAATCCTAGCACTCTGGAAGGCCGAGGCGGGCGGATCATTCGAGCTCAGGAGTTCGAAACCAGCCTGAGCAAGAGCGAGACCCCGTCTCTACTAAAAATAGAGAGAAATCTGCCAAACAACTAAAAAAATAGAAAAAAGTAGCCGGGCATGGTGGCACATGCCTGTAGTCCCAGCTACCTGGGAGGCTGAGGCAGGAGGATCGCTTGAGCCCAGGAGTT